TACTAATTATGGGGTAAAGACCATAAAATATGAAGTGATGAAACGTTAACATGCTGATTTCCTTCTGAAATGAAGGGCAACTGGAAAGCTGGTTGACAGGTGTCCTGTCCATGGAACTCCGGGATCCTCAAACCAATCTGGCAGCAATTGGCCGACCTTGAGGTGATTGGGCAAAATTCTGAGTCCCTCAAAATACACCTTTACTAGTGACTGAAAAGTTGAATTCATCAATAGATGACAAAATAATTGTTATGGTAAAGTTTAAAATGTAGCCTCTACTGGGGGAAAAACCACACACTGACATGGAACCCTTGGCAATCAGGTGTACATGACATCATCTTCCTTTGCTTGCTTCTTGCCTGAGGGCAGGTTTCAACAGAAGGAGCACAAGACTGAGTCTAAATGGCAGCGTTTGATGTGCATTTTAATAATGCAGATTTTACATAATGCCATAAGAAATCTAATTTCACTTTATCAGCAAAATTTGAATAGATTTTAAAATTTTAATCAAGAGTAGCATAATTTCAGGGCTGATACGACAAGTGAATATAAACTGTTTACTGAACTGTCACCTGTCAGGGCCATGAAGCTGGGAAACAGGAACACCTGTCGTCTTTTGCCTGGGTTAAACTTGAGTTTTGTGAATTTTTAATCATGTGAGGCCTTCAAAACACACCCTTTGCATGAAATACATCTGCTCCATGTTCAAATGTGGCAGAGATGGGGGACAGAAGAGGAGCTCAGAGGGGACTGCAAATGTGATCCTGTGACTTGTGACCAGGAAGGAAAAGAAGGGAACAGAAGAAGAAACTGCATATAACTAGAAACAGGCTTAGTTACCTGATTTGCTAAGGGTCACTGATTCCTCTTCACATTTTAGAAACATTACATCACTGTGGCAGTGTGGCATAGTCAGCTGGGTGCCCTCCCATGCACTGGAAAGTTGCTGGTTGGATTCTGGACAGGACACATGCCTGGGTTTTGGGCTCGAGCCCCAGTGAGGATTGTGCAGGAGGCAGCAGATCAATGTTTTGCTCTCACATCAATGTTTCCCTCTCTCCCTCTCCCTTCCCCACTTTCTAAAATTCAATTAAAACATCTTTTAAAAGCATGCAACATAAACAGACCTAAATCTTTGTATTATTGGTCTTATGACTGGCTTGATCCTCAGAACAACCCACTCAATGCCAACATGCAAACCAAGTGCTCTTGAAATCTCTTTATTTTTTATTTTTAATATTTTTATTGATATTTAGAGGGAGAGAGAGAGAAAGAGAGGGAGGGAGAGGAGAAAGAGACAGAGACAGAGACAGAGACATTGATGTGAGAGCTTGAAACATTGATTTCAAGCCCCCCACCTGTGACCCTAACCTGGGCCTGTGTCCTGACCAGAATAGAACCAGCAACTTTCTGGGTAGAGATGACACCCAACCAACTGAACTGCACTGGCCAGGGCGTGCTCTTTTTTAAAATCCGAATTCTCTACTTGATCAAATGATAAATGCTTAACAGATGCTTTTAATGGTAGAATTACATTAAATTTGAAATAGTTAACCCACTAGTTAAATACCAGCTCAATGTTTTGATTTAAATTGTTTTGGTTTCACTTAGATGGAGAGTTCAACTTCACCACACCTGACGACTGCGGTCTTGAAGTCCTAAACAGAACCCCAGGCAACGTCCACTTCAGACATATGTTTTGGAAATACTTGCTAACAGAAAAATTTGTTCAGGTCTTGCTTTTTCAAGAAAACTATGTACAGAGAACTGATAAATATACAAACAACCTCCAAATAAGTACCATAAAACATTCTGTTATGAAGTTTCACGCATAAAAAAGTCAAAATTTGATATCGTAATATCCTGCATCCTTTCTTCAAGGGTCAGCGTTTATACGATAGGACATTCTTTGGGTACCAAAGGTACAGAAACTGTCCATCAACAGAATAAGTTTCATATTATTAATGTCATTTTACAATCTTCATAAATTATTTCCACTTATTGAAATGTACAGGATATATTGATTCCCAGGAAACCTATGTAGAACTGAGTATAACATGGTACATGGAAATGCAGGTCTCATACTGAGAAGGAATTGGGATAATTGATCTTGTATTACACCTTGCTACACTGGACATGGTAGCCGTTAACTTATACTTGCAAATGGATCTCTGATATTTATGATCTATAACAAAGGGTCTTAACAATATTTTCATGATAAATAAAGCAAATACATGTGTTAGTAAAATCCACATTTTGAAAAATGATTTGCCATAATAAATATATGTAAAAAGATTCTGGAAAAATGAAAGTATTTTATTTTATCTGGACACATCTTTACTATAGAATTATCACTCTCTGACATACAGATTATTTTAGGGAAAAAAAATCACTAATTAAATTATTGATCGATAAGCAATCGTAGTCAATGCCAAAACTTACATGGCAAGCTATCAGAAAACTGTTTTCCTCTAACTTGAGATAACACTAATAAGATATATCAAAGGAGATTTTGTGTCCATAAACAATTTTTTGCACTTCAAATTTTATATGTTTGTGTAAAGGCATGGGTATTTTGGTGTCAAATGAAAGAAATTGCCAATAGTACAGATTATGTATTTCAGTATCAACCTGTTTTCCAATGTGAAACAAAATCTCTATATCCTCAGATCACATCTTTAATTGGAAAAGTGAGGATAAAGGGCTTGTTCATAAAATTTTTTTAAAAAGAGGTCATCCAAGGCATATTTATATTGCTTTAAATTTTTTATAACTATAAGACATTTTCTGATTGTTTAGGATACAATTAGAAGCTGCTTGCATATCCAACCTTAAAGGAAATTTTTAAAACTAATTCAATTCTGCTTCCTACTTCTTCATTAATTACTAGCTAAGGGACTTGAAAGTGCCCTAATGAATTTTACATTAGAGTTTGCAATATGAACAGTATATATTATCACCACTTCTAGTAAATATATAAGTTGGCTTTTCCAAGTTGAATGTTGACAGTTGTAAAGATTCTGTCTGGGTTTTACCACATTTAGTATTAGAGACTGAACCGAATGGAATTTTCACAAAACACACAATGCTGTAATCACATTTCCCAGGTCAAAAATCAATCTTGCTACTTTATTATCATCTGTTCTATTTCACCAAGTTCTTATTATTTTTCTCCTGTGGCTCAAAAAAGTAGAGAAGGAATCCCATTTTTATTGATTTTCAGATGTGCGTTAAATAAGGCTTAAAATATTGCTGCCATACAAGCTTTCTATAAATTTCATATTGTAAATAACCATCCAGTCATTTGACAGCCACTGTATTTTGGATTTGCTGCGTAGGGTTTACGACCTCACAACCTTTTATCATCTTCATAAAATTATTTGAAATCAGAAGTTTAAGAAAACTATAAACAGACTGAGCAAAAAAGACACATCCCTGCATCTAAATCTAATCAGAAACAGGTAGAACCTTAAAATTACCTTTTCAAAGAGCAAACCACAAACTAGCATAGAAACCTCATAGACGGCTTCCTTTGATAAAATATATCTCTAACTTCACAGCAAGGTACAGGATCACATATTGAGTATCATCCAGTGAGACACAGTATCATAAATGCACACCATCCTTAACTGAATATTCAAAGCAAATATCATATGGATATTATTGATCCCATTGAGACAATAAAGTGAAGTCACATTGATGGAAGTATGTACAAAGAAATGTAAAGACGTTTACGTAGGAAAAATACAACAGAGATCCAAGTTAACAGAAGTCAGGTCCAGACTCGATGATTACTCTAAAAGCATCAAATAGCACCTCAATCTGCAATGCTTAAAGATTAGCATCTGATCACAATCCTTTTATATTTTTAATACTTAATAATTCTCTCAGATATCATTTGATTTTCACAGTTATTGTCTCAAAATTGTTTTTCCTGATCAGGTTGTCAACATAATCATATATCCAATTCCATTATTAACCAGAGAGTTTATTTCCTAGAGAAAATATTGCTCACATTCATCTTTACCTTGCACAACAGTGTACAGGTTTCATTATGAATGCTTCTTTCTCGTTATTTAAAGAAGACAAATATACATTGGAAACATATAGTTAACAATAGTTCTTCGTGGTGAGGTCAAAATGCAGTACATCGATCAAGTTTTGCCTGTCAGAAGTTTGATGGTCCACTAAATACATCTATGACTGATAACACATTCAAAGTAGTTTGGGTCCCACCTCTCACTATTTTCATGATGGCATCGTCTAGGAATTTCATGGGCACCAAATCAGGTGCCCATGAGTTTAGGTGCTCGTGATTTTGCAACAGCTTACAAAATATTTTCTTGCTGTAAAAACTTAGATTTGGATAGAATTTCTATTTCAACTGTGCACATTTTTTTTTTTAACACGGAAATCCACTGCAATGAAACAAATATCAAACCTCTCCTGGACCTTTTACTCTTCAGCTGTTTTCACATTTTGCTCACATTTTGCAACCCCAAGAGAAATATCCTCCACCCTTTCACTGCCATGATCTAGGACCAAACACTGGAAATAACCTATGGATTATAATGACCACAGAGTTCTAGAGAATTGCTAAACACCTGCAGAACTGCTAAATACCTGCAGAATTGCTAAACACAGCTATGTGATGTTCCAGTAAACTGCAGCAAGCTGGAGAGAGGGAAAAAACCCCTCACCCAACCCAGCATTTAAAAAAAAAAAAATCCCGCTACACCGAAGATACTGCCTCCTTAGCTGAGGCACAGTCAACAGTAACACTGCCAAAAAGACATAAAGATACATCCACCGGATCCACCCTAAATGAGCTGCACTGAACACATTCTTAGAAGCGTGACTCTCAGCAAACACACAGAATTGTATTTTATTGACAGCATTCAAAATAAACACCACACAGAAACAGTGAGCCTTCCCTGTTCCATTCCAACTTCGTTATCATGCTCTACCAGCCTTTATAAAAAAAAAAAAAAAGTCATTACCTGTTTGCAGAGAACCTGTTAATAGTCTGAGAAGGTACTGGGCAAATTTCAATATTTCACGTTTACACCGTTTTCTACAGCCACTCATCTTAAGCAACAAGGTGTTCCTCTGAGGACAGCCAGAAGTCTTTGCCAGTGGGGGAAAGGCGGCCTCTGAGGGGAAACTTCTGTCTCAGTTTCTGTCACAGGCTGCCTTACAACTCCCGTGCAGTTAGCTGGGAGTGCCTGGGTCGGAAATTCCTTGAGAAAGCTAGAGAAGCCGAGACAGAGAGAGCAGTGCCGGGGTGGCGAGAAGGCTGCTTCTCGGAACGGTCACCAAGTTCTTCTGTGGCAGCAGCCAGGCTGCCCTTCACACGTGTAGTAACCCACGGGGGCTGAGCTCGGCATCCTCTCCCGGAGCCATCGCAACTCACAGACCACTCAGGGGGGCGGGGCCTGCGCTGCCAGCTGATCAATGAATCAGCATGGAAGCAAGCGGGTGAGGGGACAGATGACAGGTCACTGGGGCTGAAACCCTTTGGATACTCATAAAAGGAGCCTGGGAATGCAATCTAGCCGGCGGGGGATGAATCGTAGGGTCCAGGGCTGTGCGAAATGATTCCAAAAATACAAGGGAAGTCAGGAAGCATGCTTCTGAAGGTCAGACAGCAGACACTCCCTGGTACAGTGTCAATCAGATTCAGCAGCCTAATTGGTGGACAGGCTCACTGGAGGCGCTGACCCTGATTCTAAACAAAGAGTAAGAAGGGTTACCTCCCATCAGGGCAATGCTGCTCTGTCAGAGAAATACCCTCCACTCTACCAGCACAGAGGTGGGAAATAAGCTGTTGCAGAAATCTGAGTGTTTTCTGCCCTGCCCAGGCTCAGGCATTTGGAAATTAGGAAAAGTCGTTATTTTCTTTAAAATACAGTAGCCTGGAAACCACAACTTTTAAGCCCCTATACTTTGCCTCCAGGTGACTGTGTTGCAAAACTAATTTGCCGCATTCGCCCCAGAGAAAGAGCTGCCTGAGTCTTCATATTTCTCAAAGGCAAAAATGCAACTTGCTAGCTTTCGACCAGTGGACTTCTTTCATGAGTGAGCACCTCTGGGAGAGTTTGCAATTTTTCACCAAGTACTTTTCTATTAAAAGACAGCGTTGTAGAGCTAGGCAGGTGATTGCAAGCCAGAACGCTACAGGGCTGCCTTCTCCAAAGGCGAAGGGGTTTGGGTTTGTTTGTATGTTTGTTTGTTTTCATTCTTAGTGCCTTGGGCAGGCTGTGGGATCTGTCTCCACTCTAATTTATACTCCTGGGATTTGGTTTGTTTATTTTGTTTTTGCTTGTTTCATACACATGCAAATATTAAAGAGATTTAGTATGTATGGGATATGTGTCTTCCATATTTTGAATATTTAGACAAGCTTTTTTTTTCCTTGACAGTGGTAACAATTCTAGTTGGAACTAACATTTTCCAACAATACCATGCACGAAATGATGTTCTTTAACAGTAAAGAAAAAGCACTCCAAATATCCAAGACTCAGACAGATTTAACAGCAATTCACTGACTTCTATAACCCTTCCACATCCCAGACTGAGTGGAATAATTATTTAAAGAAAGCATGAAGCATGCTCTCCAGAAATTTTCAGAACTATTAGCAACATACTCCTTGAAATCCTTGCTCCTATGCATTTGCTCTAAGTGATGGCGTCCTAGTTTGAAATAGGCAGAAAAAACACACTCCTATAGTTCTACAGTTTGGCTAATTATTTTAAACACTCACTTTACTGTCTATAAAATGGAGATAGAAACATTTCGTTTATTTGTTGGGAGTGAAACAAGATGAGATATAGATGATACTAAGCACAGCACTTTCATGCATTTATGCAGAAATTACCTTTGAGCACTTATTATGTTCCATCTATGGTTGGAGATGATGCAACAGCAATGAAGAAAGGCAAGTCCCTGCATCCATGTAGCTTATACTTCAGTATCATAAACAACAAATAAACAAGGAAATAAGAAAATATCACATATGAATAAGTGCTATGGAGACTATTCAAATCAGACTGGTAAAATATAAAAATCAGTAAGTTAAGTGGTCAGGGAAGACATCTCTTAAAAAGACAGTTAGGCTGGGATAGAAATTACAAGAAGGAGCCAACCATCAACCATGAGATATTTAGGGGAAAAGCATGTCAAGCAGAGGTAAGAGCTTGTGCAAAGACCACAAGCAGAGAATGGGCTAAGCACCCTAAAGGAACAGAAAAAGGGATACAACTTGATGCCTACCTACTGAGCCAGGAGAGACTTATAGGTGATTTCATGGAGGAAGACAGGGCTACTAGCCAGAGCCCACTAGTGTGTAGGGCCTTATAGCCAGGATAAGGTATTTGAATTTCAGTCTGTGTGTGATGGGAGACTAGGGAATTCCATGATCTGTCTGCTTTGTAAAGGATGAACTGTAAGGAGCAGGAGGGGAACAATGGACACCTCTGCGGGCTTAACATTGGTCCAGATGAGAAATGATGGTGGCCTGGGCTGAGGTGGGAATGAGACAGGTAGGTTTCTGGATATATTCTGAAAGGGAATTAATAGGGTTGGGAATGTGGAAAGAGAAGAATTAAGGGTGATTTAGTTTGGAGCTTGAAAAGTTAGATGGATAAATGTAACGAGTTGATGCAATAGACACATTGTGGGTAGACTATAGGGGTGAAGAAAATAAAACATTCTACTCTGGACCTATTAGAATTAAGATATCTTCAGTGTATTCAAAATTTAAGATGCATTTTTAACTAATCCATTCATTTAAAAATACCTTTTTAAAAGGAGACTATCACTACAGAAACTTCAGATAATAAAGGATAATAGGATACTCCATACAGCCTTACAGACATTATTTAACAACTTATGTAAAATAGATGAATACTTCAAAAAAATTAAAATTAAAATAATCTACCAATGACATAAATTGAATAGCCCTATAATTGCTAAGTAAATTAAATTTACATTTTAAAATCCCCCCAAAAGAAAACTTCAGGCTCATGGTTTCACTGGAAAATTCTACCAAATGTGAGGAAGAATTAACAGCAATTCTTGACTATTTCTTCCAGAAAATAGAAAGGAGGTAATATTTTCTCATTTATTTATGAACTTAGTATTACTCTTATATGAAAACCATACAATAACAAAAAAGAAAACTATACACAAAGATTTCTTATTAATATAGACTCAAAAATCCTTAACAAAACAGTATCAAAGAAAATTCAGGAATATATAAAAAGAATTATGTATCATAGCTAGGTGGGTTTCATTCTAGAGATATAAGACTGGCTCAGTGTTGAAAAAAACAATCAAAATAATTCACTATGTTTACAGGCTAAAGAAGAAAAAAATCACATAATCATATTAATTGATTCAGGGGGAAAAAGCATATGACAAAATTCAACACCAATTCATGATTATGTTTTCTTTTTTATTGATTTTAGAGAAAGAAGAAGGGAGAGAGAGAGAGAAACATCAATGAGAGAGAACATCAACTGGTCCCCTCCTGCATGCCAACCCCCCCCCCCCGCCCCCCGCCACTGGGGATCTGGCCCACAACCTGAGCATTTGCCCTGACCAGGAATTGAACTGGTGACCTCTTGGTACATGGGTCGACGCGCAACCACTGAGCCACACAGGCCGGGCCATTCATGATTTTTAAAATCTCAGAGAAATAGAAATAGAGGGAAGTTTCGTCAACTTGATAAAGAGCATCTACAAAAACCTACAGATAGCATCATACTTAATATTGAGTGGAGAGACTGAATACTTCCACTCTAAAATCAGGAACAAGGCAAGAATGAATGTCTGCTTTAACAAGTGTTATTCAACATAGTGTTGGAAGTTCTAGCCAGGGCAATAAGGTTACAAAAGGAAATTTAAAATGTATGGATTATAAAACAAGGAATAAAATTATTCTATTTGCAGAGGACATAATTAACTATGCAAAAATTCTCAAGGAATCTACAAAAACTCCTAGAATTAATCGGTGAGTTCAGCTAGGTTGCAGGACACTAGCTACACATTCATTTGTTTTACTGAGGACTCAATCGTAATAGCAAGAAACAATGTAGACACTGAAATTTAAAATACAAGCCTTTTACAATTGCTCAAAAGCTTAACACTTAGGTGTCAATCTAACAAAATATGTATAAGACTTGCATGATGAAGATTACAAAAACTCTGATTAAAAAAATAAAATGTTTAAAAATACGAAGAGACATACTGTGTTCATATATTGAAGATTCAGCACAGTATAGATATCAATTCTCCCCAAATAGATACACAATTTTAACACAATCCCAATCAAAATCTCAGCAAGATATTTTTAATATATACAAGATTATTTATATATATGAAGCGAAAAAGACACTATAATAGTTAGAACCATTTTGAAAAGATCAAGTTTCGAAACCATTGTACCTGATTCTGAGATTTATATAACTACAGTAATCAAGACTGTGTGGTATTGTTACAAAGCTGGATGCTTGGTTCAGTGGAACAGAATAGAAAATCTAGGATAGCACCACACCATCGTGTACGACTGTTTTTAACAAAGATACAAGAGTGGTTGAATAAGTGGTGATGGGTCAATGAATGGCACATCAATAGGCAAAAATCAAACCTTTACCAAGATGCCACACCTTATACAATATTAGCTCACAATGAATCATGGACTTAAATGTAAAATTCCAACTTTCAGTTCAGGAAAAAAGTAGTCGAAAATCTTCAGTATATTGGGCTAGGCAAAGAGTTATTAGACTTGGCACTAAAAGCATGAGTAAAAACAGAAAAAAAATTGACAAGTTGAATGTCAAAAATCTCACTCATCAAGACCCTGTCAAGAGAATGAAAGGACAAGTTAGAGAGTGGGATGAAATATCTGCAAATCACATATCTGACAAAGAACTAGTATCTAGAATATATAAAGAATTTTCAAAACTCAACAGTAAAAAATCATACAATCTAATTAGAACATGAACAAAAACCATGAAGACCTGTTTCTCTGAAAAAGACATAGGATGGCAAATAGGTACACAAGAAAGGTATTCAATAGTGTTGGTCACTACTGAAATGCAAAATGAAGCATAAGGAGACACCATTTTGCATCTATTGGAATGGCTAAAGTACAAAATAAGAGTGATAAGAGCAAAGTCTGGTGAAGGTGCACACAGGAACACTCATCTGTTATTGGTGGAAATGTAAAATGATACAGCCACTCTGAAAAACAGCTTCAATATATTTAACATTCTCAATATACATCAGCTGTTGAACCAGCAATTGGACTCCTGAGCATTTTATCT